AGATTGGTGTGTGTCAGTGTGTGTGTACATACTGGTGTGTATGTGTGTGTGCACACACAGACTGGTGTGTGTCTGTGTGTGTGTGTGTCTGTGTGTGTGCACACTGGTGTGGGGGGTAGACTGGTGTTTGTGTGTGGGGCCGACTGGTGTGTGTGTGTGTAGGTGGGCAGACTGGTGTGTGTGTGTGTGTCTGTGGGCAGAGTGGTGTGTGGTGTGTGTGTGGGCAGACTGGTGTGTGGTGTGTGGGGGGGACAGACTGGTGTAGGGGAGGCAGACTGGTGTGTGTGTCTGTGAGCAGAGTGGTGTGTGGTGTGTGTGGGGGCAGACTGGTGTGTGGTGTGTGTGCGGGGGACAGACTGGTGTGGGGGAGGCAGACTGGTGTGTGTGTCTGTGAGCAGAGTGGTGTGTGGTGTGTGTGGGGGCAGACTGGTATGAGTGTGTGTGGGGGGGACAGACTGGTGTGGGGGAGGCAGACTGGTGTGTGTGTGTCTGTGAGCAGAGTGTTGTGTGGTGTGTGTGGGGGCAGACTGGTATGAGTGTGTGTGTGGGAGGACAGACTGGTGTGGGGGAGGCAGACTGGTGTGTGTGTGTTGCACACCCACAGCCAGGGCGTGACATCACTGAATTGTGACGGCACTGAACACGGAGCTGGGGCAGGGGCAGACTAGTGTGTGAACAGACTGGTGTGAGTGTGTGTGTGCATACTGATGTAGGGGCATAGACTGGTGTGTGGGAGGGCAGACTGGTGTGTGTGTGTTGCACACCCACAGCCAGGGCGTGACATCACAGAATTGTGACGCTACTGAATGCGGAGCTGGGGCAGGGGCAGACTGGTGTGTGTGTGTGTGTCTGCGTATGTCTTAGACATGCACAGCCAGGGAGTGACATCACGGAATTGTGACGGCGCTGAACCCGGAGCTGGGAAGAGGTGCGGGGCTATCTCCACCACATGGACACGACAGCTGTCCATAACCGAGGAGTACAGATAACAGTGAAACATGGCAAATAATAAAGAATGAATCCTGAGTCCTTCCACTCTTGTGTTTTTAAACAGAATTTCTGTAACCTTGTTTATATAAGTTTATAAGACTCATATAAGTATATATGTTTATATGAGTTTTCAGTGATGGCTCTGTGAGACAGTGAAAGTGAAGTCGTTCAGTCGTATCCGACTCTTGGCGACCCCATGGACTGTAGCCCACCAGGCTCCTCCGTCCATGGAATTTCCAGGCAAGAGTAACTGGAGCGGGTGGCCATTTCCTTCTCCAGAGGATCATCTTCCCGACCCAGGGATCGAACCCAGGTCTCCCGCATTGCAGGCAGACGCTGTACCATCTGAGCCACCAGGGAAACCCAGTGAGACAGTACTGAACTGAATACAGTCTGCAGCATTCACAGTGGGACAAGAAGCAGGACTTCAAAAGACTTGGTCCACTGCGTATTTGATTACAGGAACTCCGTTTTTTCTTTTTCTGGGACTCCTGACTATGCAGATTACAGAGACGATTTCCAAGAACCGTACCCTATGTCCGCTTTCAAACCCATCAAAGCGCCAGGAGAGGCAGCCCGCACACAGAACGACCCGCCGGAAGTCTCCGGGTTCCCGACCGCTTCTGAGAACACAGACCAAAAGTTGCCTGGCCCAGGCTGCCCGGGAGGGGCCGGAAGGCGGAGGAGCCTGCCCCGCGCCGACCCCCCCGGAAAAGCTCGGCTCCAGCGCGGCCGCTGACCTTGGCCGGGCCCGGCCCGAGCCCCAGCGCTCTCCCCCGCCCCTGAGCCGAGCGGGCTCCTCGGGGCGGGGAGCGCGGCCTGGCCTGGGAGGCGCGGAGGCCGTCCCCTTCCGGAGCCCGGGGAGGCGGCTCCTCGCGGCGCCACCGGGGGCCCGTGCCCGCCCTTACCTTGACTGGCGGCGGCCATTTCGGCGAGCTCGTCTCGCGATGACACCCGCGGGGCTTCGCCGCGGGAGGACGCGGAGTGGCGCGCCGCCGTCTGCGCGAGCTGGCTTCCGGTACGTGGGGTAGATGTTTCCGTTCCCACGGCGGCGGCGGAAGAGGCCAGGCGGGGCGCGAGCTGTCCCCTCCCCTTCTCGGCGCACCGGGGGCGGGGGGTGGGCGCTACAAGCGCCGTGGCCCCGCCCCCGGCGGGCCAGGCCGCGCGTGCGCAGAAAAGCCTCTCGCGGCCGCGCTGGCTCCCCACTTCCGGTCCCGCTCGGTGGTTCTTTTCAGTTCCCTGCTAAAGGTTACGCGGCCTTTCCCTCGCGAACGCTGCTTCGCTCCTTCCTTTAAGAAAAAGTTCAAAGGTGGGCTTGTGGTGGTTATTCATGTCAACACTGAACACGTACTTATCACTGCCCCAGCCCCAAGCGACAATTGTCGCTGTGACTCCGTCCCAGTTCACGTCGACACCGCCTTGCCAGAAACCTTGCTGTTATTCCAATGCTTCCGTCTCAGCCCAAATGGCCCTCAGGGAACAGGCCACCTGCTTTCTTACCATTAAACCCGATCCTCACGGCTGTGGCCAGAGATCACGACCCTCCCTTGCTCAGAACCCTACCATGGCTCCCTAGAGCCTTCAGTGTACAAGTCACAGGCCCCTTACTGAAATGTAAGCTTCTTACATTTGCGCGTAACGCACGCGTGTAAGGCACGCATCCCGTGACCATCGGCATTTAAAATTGCGACCTGGTTCATCCCTCCTCCCCCTTCTCATACTTTACTTTCTTTTGGGGCGCAGTTCTTAGTTCACCTGACATACATAAGGGACCCCTGTCTTACAGGTATTGCTTAGCGTCTCTAAGTTGATGGTTTTCCCTGCTGTGCACCCGGTGCCTGGGACGGTGTTTGTGTAGGACTGTGTCTGATTAGGACAAATGAGCCGTTGTGTGCTCTTTGGGGAACCACTTCACCACTCTGCCTCTTAGATGGTGCACCTGTACTTACTTTGCCTTCTCACTGTGAGGATTAAATCACATAATGTGTAAAGCATCTGACAGAGTTCAGTTCAGTCGCTCAGTCGTCTCCGGCTCTTTGTGACCCCATGGACTGCAGCTTGCCAGGCTTCCCTGTCCATCACCAACTCCCGGAGCTTACTCAAATTCATGTCCAAGAGTCGCCAGCGTCACTGCCGTAGTTATCAAGCTCTTTTGTAACTAGAGGCTTTCCTGGTGGCTCAGACTGTAAAGAATCTGCCTGCGATGCAGGAGACCTGAGTTCGATCCCTAGATCAGGAAGATCCTCTGGCAGAGGCAGCTACACACTCTAGTATTCTTGCCTGGAGAATTCCATGGATCGAGGAGCCTGGCGGGCTACAGTCCATGGGGCCTCAAACTAGTCGGACACAACTAGGCAATTGACCCTCATGGTAACTATGTATCTACTTTTATGTCTATGCCGCTGTGCTATGACTCCCATAAGGCATGAAATGGATTTTATTCATCTCTGAAGCATGCACGTATAGAAAAAGGGTTAGGAGCATGACTTCTGGAGCTAGATTAAATCTTTTTTTAATGCTACAGTTTACAAACTGTGACCATGGCCAGGATGCCTAACCTCTCCCTGCTTCAGTTTCATGACCTGTATGATGAAGACAAGAATGCTTGTTGCCTTAGAAAGCACTTAGAAGACTTCCTAGAATATGTTACATGCCCGCTATTATCTCTGCAAAGTTGTGTCTAGCAGAGAGAAGGTCTCAGCAAATATTTAACCAAAAGGGTTTCTTCCTGATTGTTTTCAAACCTGACAATACCTTACCAATTGCTCCCAGTCAATTCTTATACGTGTACAACCGGATTCTGCATGATAACACTTCTTACAGAAACCCTGACAAAGATTCTTATTAGCTCCTGTTCTTTGAGACCCTTAAGGGAGGCTCTCACGCCTGCTAATATGCATTAAACTGAATACGGTTTCTGCTTGAGTGCACCATGGCTATCTTTTGATGTAAGGAAATAGAGTCTATACTCTGGCCAAATGTAAACAGCCTTAAGAAGCATCAGGTAGAAACAGTGCCAGAAACATAAATACATGGATGCTAGGTAGTTCTGAGTGCTCTGTAGGAAAATGAAGCCAATCAATATGGCCCACATATTGATGGTGCCAATGTAGGCAGAGAGCTTACAGTGTCAAGGCGCTGGTCCATATATGAGCTCATTAGAAGGCAAAACTTGAGCCAGGAGAGTGGAACCATGTGGTGATCTGGGGAAAGGTAGAGGAGATGGCAGGTGCTAAGATTCAGGTGCTCAGTGTTTTAGAACAAGAAGGCCAGTAGCCGGACTGAGATGAGACCTTAGAGGTAGGAGAAAAGGACATGCAAACCATCAGGAAGACTCTAAAGTGAAGTCCCTCAGTCATGTCCGACTCTTTGAGACCCCATGGACTGTGGCCCACCAGGCTCCTCCATCCATGGAATTTTCTAAGCAAGAGTACTGGAGTGGGTGGCCATGGCCTTCTCCAGGGGATCTTCCCGACCCAGGGATCAAACCTGGGTCTCCTACATTGTGGGCAGATGCTTTACCATCTGAGCCACCAGGGAATCCCTTAGGGAAGACTCTAGGACATGGTCCAAATGTAAGCTATTGCTCTGAATGAGGTCAGAAGCTGGTGGAGGGTTCTGGGCAAAGAAGTGACTGGATCTGCTTTATTGTTTTAAAGGTCATTCAGTGGTGTCTGCACAAGGGGCAAGGGGAGAAGCAGGGGTGACTCTTAGCATATGGGTTGCTCTTGCTCACGCACAGATTCCAGAATCTTCGACATCCTGAGCATCTCTTCTTCCTGCTGCTAAGAAAGAGGGTTGGAGGCCACCGGGAATATGAAGACAGCTCGGTGCTCCTCTTCACCTGGGCCCACTTCTTCCTTTTCTCCAAGGTTCTGAGCAAAGCAACAGTCTTGGGCCCCTGCTGCTTTCAGAGGTGAATGGGTTAAGCTTGAGCTCAGCCTTCCTCTTCCTACTCACTTCTTCCTGTGGCAGCTTCCCACTGCCCAGAAAGAAGCAATCCTATCTGCCACTGCTGAGCACTCATGCTGCTCTCAAGTCCCCTAAAGTCCTTTCAGAAAACTTTGGGACTTTTCACGAAATCATAGAAAATTTACCTTTCTTTTTTGTTTGTTTGTTTTTTTTTTTTTTTTTTTGCCTTCTAGAAGCCTACGATGTTTTTAGAGAACTGATCTTTAGCTTCTCCAATTGAACATTTTCCAGCCATCAGAGCCATGCACATCGAGCTCTCCACCTGCTTCTTTCTGTGCCTCTGGCCATGCAGCTTCGGTGCCATCAGAAGATACTACCTGGGCGCAGTGGAACTGTCCTGGGACTATAAGCAAAGTGAACTGCTCAGTGAGCTGCACGTGAACATGAGGTAAACCCAGGTTCTAGAGACACTGGGCAGGATGGTGGGTGTGGGACTCTGGCTGGTGGAAGATACAGACATGGGTTACAGTAGCTGTGATGCTACTGAAGCCCTAAAGAGTATTTCCAAGTCAGTGCCAATCCTTTTCATAGATCTAACCTATTTGTTGATTTTTGTTCCCTATCTTGTCCATTGCTTCTCTTTGTCACATGCTGCCACTGTGGAAACTAGAGAGTGGAAAAGAGTGAGGGCAGAGAGGCAAGGAGCATAAGAGATGGAACAAAACTTCTATCAGAGAGAAGAGCAACAAGACCCATCAGTATTACCCAGTTTTGGTGTAAGGATAGAATTAACCATGAATTCAGAAGCTTTTCATCTTTTCTGGGTACTGGAGCATTTGGGGAGAGTAGGATTAAATAATCTTTCCAATATTATCTATAGCCATTGATTTAGTCAGATATTCTACCTATTCTTCGGTCAATGTTCATTTATATACATTTTCCTAGAAAGCAATCCATCATCCCTAGATTTTATAGTGTATTGGAATCAAGTCATGTAGTAGTCGTGTGATATTGTTAACCTCTTTTGTGTCTGTAGTTATATATTTATGTTCTTAGCTTGTGTATGTTCTCTTACTTCTCTTAAAAGTAATATTTTCAGGATGTTTCTGGATTTTATTGCTTTTGTCAGGAACCTGCATCTTTTGGGTCTATGAATTTCCATTTTTACTTTCATCGGTTCATTTCTTCTTCATTACTTCCGTTGGTTTATTTTGTTGATCTAATTGTTTGCTTATTGAGTTGAATGCTGAAAGCATTTATTTACAATTGTGTGGTGTTTTCTTTAAATGTGTATTATAAAGTTTTAAGCCCAGTACATACTTGATGGTAATGTAAATATTAAATATGGTCATGTCATACAAGCGTTACAATCTTTTTTGTTCTGTTTGCTTTGCTCCCTACATTTCTTCTACCTGAACCTGCTTCTGGATTATCCCCAATTGGGTACCCTAGTATGGTAATATAGATTCATGAACACACATGTATTCACATATATGCAAATAAAGGTTTTCTTTGTCCTTGTTTGTTTTATAAAAATAGGATACTATACATTTTTGTCACTCATTAACACCTAATGGAATCCTGTGCAAGTCAATTTAATGACTATGTAAAATTTAATGGCTATGTAAAATTCCATATTATTCAAGTTTCTTTTTTGGCCATTATACCCTATATCATTATATCAGTTCAGTTCAGTTCAGTTGCTCAGTCGTGTCCCACTCTTTGCAACCCCATGGACTGTAGCACGCCAGGCCTCCCTGTCCATCGTCAACTCCTGGAGTTTGCTCAAACTCATGTCCATTGAGTCGGTAATGCCATCCAACCATCTCATCTTCTGCCATCCCATCCTTCTCCTGCTTCAATCTTTTCCAGCATCAGGGTCTTTCCCAATGAGTCAGTTCTTCGCATCAGATGGCTAAAGTATTGGAGTTTCAGCTTCAGCATCAGTCCTTCGAATGAATAGTCAGGACCTATTTTCCTTTAGGATGGACTGGTTGGATCTCCTTGCAGTCCAAGGGACTCTCAGGAGTCTTCTCCAATACCACAGTTCAAAAGCATCATTTCTTTGGTGCTCAGCCTTCTTTATAGTCCAACTCTCACGTCCATACATAACTACTGGAAAAACCATAGCTTTGACTAGATGAAACCTTATGGCAAAGTAACGTATCTGCTTTTTAATATGCTGTCTAGGTTGGTCATAGCTTTTCTTCCAAGGAGCAAGTGTCTTTTAATTTTGTGGCTGCAGTCACCATCAGCAGTGATTTTGGAGCCCAAGAAAATAAAGTACGTCACTGTTTCCATTGTTTCCCCATCTATTTGCCATGAATGATGGGACAGGATACCATGATCTTCGTTTTTTGAATGTTGAGTTTTAAGCCAGCTTTTTCACTCTCCTCTTTCACTTTCATCGAGAGCCTCTTTGTTCCTCTTCACTTTCTGCCATAAGGGTGGTGTCATCTGCATATCTGAGGTTATTGATATTTCTCCCGGCAATCTTGATTCCAGCTTGTGCTTCATCCAGCCCAGCGTTTCTCATGATGTACTCTGCATATCAGTTAAATAAGCAGGGTGACAGTATACAGCCTTGATGTACTCCTTTCCCAATTTGGAACCAGTCCATTGTTTCATGTCTGGTTCTAACTGTTGCTTCTTGACCTGCATACAGGTTTTGCAGGAGGTAGGTAAGGTGGTTTGGTTTTCTCATCTCTTGAAGAATTCTCCACTGTTTGTTGTGATCCACACAAAGGCTTTAGTGTAGTCAATGAAACAGAAGTAGATGTTTTTCTTGAATTCTCTTGCTTTTTCTATGATCCAGCAGATGTTGGCTATTTGATTTCTGGTTCCTCTGCCTTTTCTAAATTCGGCTTGAACATCTGGACATTCTTGCTTCACATACTGTTGAAACCTAGCTTGAGCATTTTGAGAATTTTGAGCATTACTATGTTACCATGTGAAATGAGTGCAATTGTGTGGTAGTTTGAACATTCTTTGGCACTGCCCTTCTTTGGGATTGGAATGAAAACTGACCTTTCCCAGTCCTGTGACCACTGCTGAGTTTTTATATTTGCTCGCATATTGAGTGCAGCACTTTCAAAGCATCATCTTTTAGGATTTGAAATAGCTCAACTGGAATTCCATCACCTCCACTAGCTTTGTTCGTAGCAGTTTGCAATAACATCTACTTATTATCTCACAGTTTCAGTGGGTCAGAAATCCAGGTGGGCTCAACTAGGAACTCGACTTGGGATCATACAAGGCCAAAATCAAGGTGTTTACAGTTCTATGGTCCTTATTGGAGGCTCCGGCTTGGGGGAGTAGGGGGAAACCCACTTCCAGGCTCAATTGGAATTTAGTTCCTTGTTTCAGTTTCCATGCAGTGCCCTCCATCTTCACGCTAACAAGCATGCATCAAGTCTCTTTCATGCTTCGAATCTAACTTTAATTTCCATGACATCTGTTAAAACTTCTGCTCTGTCTCCCTCTTCCACTTTTAAGAATCCTCATGGTTACATTGGACCCACCCAGACATTTCAAGATCCTATTCACATCTCAAGATCAACTGATTAACAACCTTAATTCCATCTGTCAAGTTTCTTCTACCACATAACAGAACATATTCCTGAGCATAACACCAAAGGGCAGAGGTCATGAGGGACATTTTCCCTACCACAGGTATAATTTACATATAGTGAAACACACAGATTTTTAAATGTGAAGTTTGAGGAGTTTTGACAAATCATACTAGTTACATAAACACCACCCCAATCAATCATCCTGCAACCTTTTAGTAAGTCTCTCTACCTTGACCTGGCACCAGGCAACAAGCTCCTTTCTGGAATTACAAATTTGCTTTTGACTTTACAAGACTTTTATATCAGTAAATTCATACAGTGTGCACTCTTCAGTGTCTGGATTTTTATCTTAGGCATCATGATTTGGAAATTTGCTCAGGCTGTCACATGAAGTTGTTCTGTCCTTTTTATTGCTCATTACTGCTCTTTTGAGGGAATATATCACAATGTATACCTTTTCCCTGCCACATGAACCTTTGACTTGTTTCCAGAGGTTAATATAAATAAACCTGCTGTGAACATTCCTGTACGAGTGTTTGTGTGGCCATCCACTTTCATTTATCTTAGCTGCATATTCGATGAGTGAAATTGCTGGATCATGTGGAAATGAACATTGAACTTTATAAGACACTACAAATAGATTTCTGGAATGTTTATACCATTTTGTACTCTCATCAACAATGCATGAAAGTGCCATTTGCAACACATACCAGGTATGTGATGTTGCTAGACAGAGGATGAGATGGTTGGATGGCATAACTGACTCAATGGACATGAGTTTCGGTGAACTCTGGGAGTTGGTGATGGACAGGGAGGCCTGGCATGCTGAGATTCATGGGGTCGCAAAGAGTCAGACATGACTGAGCGACTGAACTGAAGTATTTAATTTTAGTTATTTTAATGATTATGTGCTGATATCTTACTGTATATTTAATTTTACATATCTCTGATAACTAAAGATACTGAGCACCTTTACATGTGTGATTGACCATTCCTGTATATCGTTTAATAAGATGATGATGCAAATATTTGGCCCGTTTTTACATTGGGTTGTTTTATTATTGTTGAGTTTTGAGAATTCTTTATATATTCTGGATACAAGCACAATTTGTTTTCAAAATTTTCTCCCAGCACAAAGATTTTCATTTTGATGAATTCCAATTTATCTATTTTTTTTTCTGCTAGTTGCTTGTGGTATCATATCTAAAAAGTTATTACCAAATCCAAAGTCACAAGAGATTTATACCAGTGCTTTCTTCTAAGAGTTTTATAGTTTTAGCTCTTATATTGAGTTATTTGAGTTAATTTTTGTGTATGGTTTAAGGAAGGGATCCAAGCCTGTGGTTGTGCAGTGTGACTGATCCTGAAGTAGAGGCCCAGATGATCAGTAGCCTGGGATCTAAATGAACCATTGGCCATTTATCTGTTAATATTGGACTATTTGAAAATTAGTGTTGAGATAATTGTACTTAATATGTTGTGATTGTATTATAGCTTTCATCTAGCATGCAGGTTGAGATATAGTGAATCACAGTCTGTGTTTAAAATTGAATGGAGAAAATGATTTATTTCATATCTAGATTTCTTTTGTTTTATAGGCAGTCACATGTATTTACCAGGAAAAAGTTGATAGAATTTTATTTTGATGATACCATTTTATAGTCCAGATTATTTTGATACTGATTAACAGGATAAGCTGACTCTGAACATATCCTGACAACCTCTGCCAAGACTTGAAATAAACATCTGGGAAATTCAGTTTTATATTATCTATTCCTGCAGCTGCTCAACTTCTTCTAAGCAAAGGTCAGGGAATATAATAGGTTTTCCGATGGATTTTAGATAAAATGTGAAAGAACAGTTCAGGTCAAGGACA